TGATTATAGATGATTCTGATTAACAGCTGTAAGTTCAGAGCATTAGCTCAGTTCTTGTGTATTGTATTGATATTTTGTAACCTGAAAGTGACGTGACGATGTTGGAAGCGGATGTGTCAGAATCATTTGTGAATCGGCGTGGCAGTCAGTGCAGTTTCAGGTGTCTCCGATGGGTCATTGCAGGTACTATGCCTGGCTTAGGTGCAACTGTGTATAATAATGTACAATAATATATTATAATGTAATAAATGGTCATGTGTGAACGGGCGCCTTTGGAACAGAATCTTAGCTGTAACAGCCCACATCGTGAGCGAAAGTCGGAGCCGGCCTATCCCATAGATAACGGCGTCGACTTTAATAGTTGTCAATGTGGGCCATCGACTCTTAAAAAAGTCGGTATACAATAGTTATACCTGGGCCTATACATGTCGGGTTGGCAATCTCGAAGGGGCTGAACGGGAGCGATAACGAGAGCATGTGTGCGCGAGCGCAGAAGAGGACTTTCGACCTGGCCTACACTTTCCTTTTAAAGAAGAAGGGGACCAGCGAACGAGGAAGGTACTGCCACACGTGACAACACCAATCCGGACCTTTATGGTGGGGATGAATGTGTCGGTCAGGTGGTTAAAGTTTTTCCACAACATGGTGTCATTTAGCGACAAGGCAGCAAGGTTCTCTGTGTCTGTGAGGACAGTCGCCGCACCAGTGACCATGCCCAACGAGTGAGCAATCTCTCCATGAGTCCATGACAGACTATTCCAGATATTCGGGGAGACGAAGTAGGATGGGAATCTGGTCCAACTACCCATTTACCCATGTGTGTGTGGGTGCCATCTTATGCCTGGGTAAATGGGCATGGGGGACTGAGCTCCTCTAAATTGGCACGGCCATTTGCTCCGCAGGAACACTTTCCGTTCCTAAATATAAGCCTTTTAAGAGATTCCAATATGGACTATATACGGAGCAAAATGAGTGAATCTACACTTTAAAATGTCTATATACATCCGTATGTAGATTATATTGAAATCTTTAAAAAGACATATTTAGAAACGGGGGGAGTATTTGTTTAGCATGATATATTTATACTTCTATGTCAGTTTATATCTTTAGAATTTGACAATGTGGCTATTCTTGATTAATGCAAGGATTTCTTTTCTCTTTTTGCTTGATTGGAATGGAAATTACAGTTGTTCCATTGTTACTAAGCTGTCGTGCAAAGTGTTACGATGCTTGTGTTGTGGGCATGCCCACTAGCAACGGGTATGGGTGACATTTTTGTGCCTGTCATGGGCCAAGGCCAGGGCCATGGGCATGTCTTATCTGTGCGAGCACAAGCATAAGACCCGATGCATTATTGCTGATCCACGCGTAAACAGTGGCTGATAATTGTTTTTAGAGAGTTGAAAGAGACTGAAAGGGTTAAGACGCTAGAAATATAGCTTGTTCCAACTGCATATCAAGAGTGTTAGCGAAAGTAGATGAAAAATTAAGACAAGATGGAGATTGCCGGGTGAATGGAAAAAAACGAAGGGAGAATTCATCGAAAGTAATAAAATACGTACATTTGTGTAAAAAAAAGTCAGAAACTGCAGTGGCACTAAACTAGGTTCAAGTAAAATTGACTCTATGATTTACTTTTTTTTACCGGGAAACTGTTTAAGAAATAATGTTAATTCTAGCTCTAGCTGTTCTATTTTATAGCTGTGAGACAAGAAACAATTCTGGAGTACACAAACTTGAGAACCCCTGCATAGTATTCAAATTTCCCCATCCCCATACTAGAAAGCCATAACTGATTAATCAGAACAAGAATAATACGAAACACCATGCTGACAAGAAAAATCGAGTCACTGTACAGATGCATGTGAAAGTATATATAATTATGCAACTAAGTATAAGCTTCTCATGTTCAACCGATCATGCTATAAGGGAAAATGCAGGACTGAGAAAACAAATTATGGAACTAAACAAGCAAGAATGAAATTACCCTACAATACATGAAAAGGAAACAAATATAATTCATCAAACGTTGCCATGAAAATAGAAGTAAGAAACTTAGTACTCTCAAATGATTTGGAGTGTGGTGCAGGAGCATCACAGTAGGATGAGCATGGCCGTGTCATCATGTACCAGCCACAAAGACAAAACAGTGTTTGTCCAGCCCCTCTCCTCCAAATTACTGAGGCATTTATCTTGCATTCTCTGGCACTAGAACATATAGAGTATGCCGAGTTCACCAAATCAAAAGTATATGGATAGGGGCGGAAGAGGTGGGATTAACCGTTCTAGGTTGTCACTAAACATTATAGGGACAAGATGGCATATAGAGAATCTGCTAGAGTGAGTTTTCCTCCCAATTTAACGGCTTTTAGGGATAGATGTCCATATAGAGATTATGCTAGAGATGTTCTGATCCTCATAATTAATTTGTAAGTATAGTCAGTACTCCCATCGAGTGACCGTTTGCCGGGTAGGTACATGTATAATCCCTCCCTCCACACAATTACACATGTTGGAAACGTTACCAGTTTTTGAGAACTCACCTGCCATCTAAAGCTTAGTTTGTACCACGAATCTGAGGAAAAAACAGACCAATATTTATCCAGCTTCAGACGTAAGTGAGACGACCCTTCCCCTGGAACTGTAAAATGCAAGAAAAAGAGTGTGAGATGGGGGGGAACAATGGCATACCTTCATGTAAGAAAAGGACGGGAGTGGTCCTCCTTTTCTTAAAAAAAATGTAAGGAAGGCTTGTAAATTTACTTGTATCGACAGCTGACATGGATTGAACATGAATGGTTCCACTGAAAATCACAATAGAAAATCTGAATCTGGGAAAAGCAAAGCCTTTCTCGGTCATTACAAGGCAGAGCAGCCCAAGTGGGTGGGTGACCACTAAAGATGAGCTGGCCACAGAGCCTGCATTCCTTCATAAGACGGAAAGTTTGCGAAACAACGAGAGATCCATTTGTAAGCATAGTGATGTATTCTTGGTCAGGTCAAGTTATCGTTCCGCACACCACGGAACCGCAGAACCACTGAACCGTCGGTGCTATAGTAGCTCTGCCACGAAGCCTCGGCATTTTGTCAAACAGCTTCTGGGCAATACCACAAGCCTGCCGCTGCTGCTGGTCAGAACTGATACGAGGCTGCTCCTCACTCAAGGATAGTGACATATTCTCAGTTGGATCAAGTTATCCTTCCGCAGACTACCAAACCGCAGAACTCTCGGTGCTATAGAAAACTCTGCCACGAGGCCTCGGCATTTCGTCGAACAGCTGGCGGGCAATACCACCAGCCCGCCGCTGCGGGCCAGAGCTAACACGAGGCTGCTCCTCCCACAGTCTCCGTGCCGCTGGACAACCCGCGAGGGCTGCCGCATCATTTGCTGATGCCCGGAGGAAGCACGGGAGGGAGTGGAGTGGAGGTAGGGGGCGACGGAGCAGGCGAGGAACGGCTGCGAAGCCGTCGGAGGAGAGCGTGGGTTCATGAGCCACGGGCCGGCATGAACTGTTACGTGGGAAGATTCTTTCCGGCCATTCGATCTGCTTGTCCATTTCAGCCATTTATGGGCCGCTTCGTCTCTCGTCCTCGAACCGCTTCGTTCCCAGCCCATCACAAAAGCAAAGCAAGTGACCAGGCCAGCGGTGATTCCTACTGCCGGCGGCCCGGCACCCCCTCTCTTCTCACCCTGGAGTAATAAAAGCTAGAAAAAAAATGGAGTACAAGCTTTTAAATAGCGACCACTCCCACGACCTCCCATATGGAAAAGCTGATCTAGGATTAAGCTTTTAAATAGCGGCCGCTCTCCATATTGTGGCCACCATAGCAGTTATCATGATGCGGGCATAATATCAGGTGGCAGACCGCTATATCATCCTATATCTGCAATATTGCCTGCTATATAAATGCTATTATTGTTTTGTGTAATATATTTGTGTAAATGTGCCTTGCTTATATGTTTCAAGCACCAAATACTGTTTCAGTTAGTAGTTTATATTCTTATATAAATGATGATTGCTCAAAGTAAATGTCTTATTTTTGTCAACGGTCTAGAAATATACACAATAATCTCTAATTTACTAGTGTTTATATATGCGGACATAGCGCCACAATCCGCATTCACTACGCCGTACCCCAATCTGCAACCAATCCACTATTTAAAATTTTATGTCCATGACAATGAAACTCATGAACTCCCAACAATGAAATGCATGAAGTTGTAATACTTTGACACATTTTTTTTTTGCTTCTTATGCTTGGTGCTACTTTGAAGCACTTTCATGAATTTTTCTATTATGAACACTTAGTGCTACTTTCAAGCACTTCACATGTGTACTCTAATATAAAAAGATTAATGATCGAACTCTAGTGTACATCAAGTCTGCCTATGCGAAGGTAATATTAGTTACCTTGTGTCGTAATTCTAGAAATATATTTACAACATGGATAGGCTGAGGGGGGGGGGGGGCTTAGCAATATGGATCACTAAGGCCGTCGCCGAGGCAACGAAGTTCAGGGCATTCAGGTTTCACCGATAGTTCAAACTCTATATAAGCTAAAATTATACGCAGCAGAGTCGAAACAAAAGGGACTTCCTACCAGGCCTAGATGTGCCACGTGAAGTCAGTTCATGTTTATAACCGTTATGGAAATGAAAAGGCCATTGAGTTTAAAAGATGTTTCCTTGAGATATAAATTGGTTGTTGTCAAATTGGTCGTCCTAATTTGGTATGAAAGCGTGGATTCTGGACCGTGCACCTTTTTTACAAGTAAACACAAAAACATTGCAAGAAGCATAGACAAGAACACCACTACCTAATCACTTGTATCCAATGTAAGGATCACCTTAATGACTCCTGGGCAACAGGTGATACATCACTTATTTTTAGAATATTACATCACTATTTTGCTGAGCCATAAATTACCAAAGTGTTTGATTCATCAACTTGTTTTTCCTTCAAGACCATTTTATACATCTAAACCTGAAAATTATTACTTCATCGCCCCTCTATCTCGGTAAGAGTAAAACTGTTCACGGAAGTCCGAATGTCATTTTTTATATTACCAATTTCAGCACTTTGTTGTGCGAAGTAGGCGGGGCGACTTGGGGCTGTAAGTGTGGTGATTCTATTCTCTAGGATGAACACAACAGATGACATAAGCGGCCTATCATCTGGGTTCTCCTGGACACACAAGAGTGCCACATGGACGCAAAGCAAAACTTCGACCGGTGAAGTATTTACGATACATGAGTCTAGCAGTTCCTCAGTCTTCGATTCCTTCCACATATTCCATGACTGAAAAAACAAGAACATCATATTAGTATTCCTATTCATATTGTGTTTAAAACTCAAAACGCTTTGGAAATTTAATCCATGTTTAGAAGTAAAACTTGACTTTAAGTCTTGTATGTACTCACATAAACTGTGAGGCTAGGGAATCCCATGGTTTGACTAATGGAGTTTCTTCTTATGCCAGTTACAACCTCCAGTAGTAACACGCCAAAACTATAGACATCAGACTTGGTAGAGAAGACGCCTTCCATTGCATACTCAGGAGCCATGTAGCCACTATTTGAGCAATTCAATTGTAAGCGATATCCAATAAAAGTTCAATCTAAAAGATCAATATGATTTTTCTTCCAATGGATACTCACTATGTTCCAACAACACGTTGGGTATTTGCATTTTGCTGGTTATCACCAAAGATTCTAGCCATACCAAAATCTGCTATCTTGGGTTTCAAATCGGCATCTAGCAAAATATTTCCAACTTTGAGATCTCTATGAATTATGGTGAACCTTGAATCTTCGTGAAGATACATTAGTCCCCTTGCAACCCCTTTGATTATACTAAATCGTGTCTCCCAGTCCAACAACAATTTTCTTGAGTCATCTAAGAGAACAAATGTAAGCAAATAAGTGTTTTGACTTGTCTTAGGAAATCATAGTTTGTTATTAGAATACGTACCAAAAAGGGTAGCATCTAAGCTCTTATTAGGCAGATACTCATATATTAGGAGCTTTTCATCTTCCTCACTGCAACATCCAAGAAGCCGAACCAAGTTTTTGTGTTGCAATTTGGCAATCAGAACTACTTCGTTTCTAAATTCATTTGTTCCTTGTTGAGAATCTCTACTTAGCCTCTTGATTGCAACTTCTTGACCACCTACCATTCCCTAGAGAATAATGTGAATATTAGACTGCAATGTGAAATAGGTAGCTCTTCTTATTAGAATGAATATTAGGAAAAAACTATTCAATGAGTTACCTTGTATACTTTACCAAAGCCTCCTCGTCCAATCATGCATGTTTCAGAGAAATTGTGGGTTGTCAGCACAATTTCTTCTAATCTTACAAATGGAAATTCCCAATCATGGGGAGGGTTTCCTTCTCCAAATTCATTAGAGGTATTCGTACCGACCAAACTTATCTTATTTTGATTTCTCCATTTTTTGTTCTTGCCTGCTCCCACAATGTTAATAGTCACTTCCCTTCTAATAAGCACATCACACACATAACAAAGAAAAAAGTTATATTTGAAACCTAACTATTGATATTGGTATAATATTCCCCAATTAATGAACTCATGGAAGCAAATTAAATAACCCATGAGGTGTCTCTACCACCATGTGGCAGAGTGTACATTCAGCTAAGCTAACCCCTTCAACACCTAGTATCTCCGAGCAGCAATTGTAATGATATGGAAAGCAGCAAGACAACAACCCCTATGATCGACGTGACCCATTCTGTGTGTATGCGGACTACACAGCTGTTTGTGCAAGGGTTCTGACGGACATAGTGTACGAACGAATGATTGAAATGGGGAGAGATAAATATGTGGTTTCACTAACATGTGGACTCCATCTTATTTGGTAGTACAAGATTGTATGTAAGCACCGGATCACTCCCAAGGGTAGTTAAACTGTGCCATAAACCATCTAAAATGTTACTTGATCTCGGTTTATGCTCAGTGGGTTTATAAGATTATGTAGTCTAAGGGTATATTATGGTAAAATATAACGTTTTACTTTGCCCGCAAAAATATATATAACGTTTTACTTAGCAGGGCCAAGGAAACGTACCTTTGAATTTTAACCATGCAAGAAAGATGCAGATGAGTACCAAAACACTAGAGCTTAAAACTGACAACACAATCCTCATTGTTTTTCTCTTTGTTCTTCTACCTATGCAAGAAATACATACACAGTAAAAAAACTTTTTTGTTGCTTTATGTATAAAGCAGAACAAAAGCCTATTTTGAGAGCAATAAGTATTTCTAAGTCATGTAACAACCATCCAACTTAAAGATAAGATTATGGAACTACAAAAGGGACGAGAAGATCATGATCATACAACTACTAATATATTGACTGTCACAAAAATGGATGATGAAACTAGAAGCACGAAAGCTATTAAAAGAAAGAAAGTTGTAGAACGATAGACAAATAACAAAGCTAGCCAGACAATGATGGGGAAGTTGAGATCTGATACCAGTTGTTGCATCCATGCGTGCATGCCGGAGATAAAGTGTCTCACCGCCAAGCTCCCCTATCTTTCCTATGTCAACCAACTCCCCATTCCACACCAAGCATCGTGTCACATCTCCTCCAGACCTGCCAGTGCTCAGGTTGCTGAACGTGTATGCCACGCACGAGCAATTGCGGCTGCACTCTGCTGTGCACTCCTCGAACGTACTCCTGTCCCCGCCCACGGAAGAAAACATGTCAGGTGACTTCATCCCCGGCAATGCTAAGAAGCCGTCACTGCATCGCGGCGCCTTCTTCCTTCGGCACCCCGCCGAGAATCTGCCTACAGTCCACTCCTCCGTGTTAGTCGGCTCAAAGCCGTCGAGACACTTGCATGCTAGCACGGCAGGCATGGTGGATGTCTCATCGCAGTATCCATTTGGGCCACAGTAATTGTAGCGGTTGCATTCAGCTGACGGCCACTTCCAAAGGACAGCCCACGCTGACGACTTGTTGCTCCAACTCTGGAGCTGATACTCACCATAGTAGGTTAGCACTAACCTGGTGCGTGGGGCGCCGTCCGAGAGGCTATAGGTGATGTACATCTCATCGTCCTTGTCGACAAAGGCCACATAAATGATAAAATCACTGACGTTAGTTGCCCTTGTCCCCCCAAGTTGTTGTTGGCTTTGGCTCATCACTAGGTACCCTGTCCATGGGGCGCTGCGAGACACCGAGTGCTCCCCATCCCATAGGAATACTTGGAGGGATCTGTTCGGGTCGCTGCCATAGGAGAAGCGCCCCAACGAAGGGTCGTTAGGGCCTTTCCAGGATACTAGATGCTCGGCGGTGCCCTGTGTGCTATTCTTTATCCGTAGCTTCATGCCAGGGAGGAATGTGTCAGTGCAGTGGTCGAAGCTCTGCCACAACATGGTGCCATTTGACAACCGAATAACGAGGTTGCCAGTGTTCAGAAGCACTACCGTTGAGGTAGATGAGCCCACGGCGGTGGCCACATTGGTCGTTGTCCAAAGGACACGGCGGCCACCATTACCATCGGAGAGAACCAGATTAGAGGTGTTGGTGAGCGAGACCGTTGGTGGAGAGGAAGTGGTGTTGGTGGCCGGGGTTTCTCGATTGGCGACCCACACGACAGTGAGCACGGGGATGCCGGTGTACCATATGCCTAGGTACAGGCTGGTCGGAGTGGAGTTGGAGGGGCTGAAGAAGCCCAAGGCGAATCCACCATCATCGGAGAGAAGGAAGTTACCTGGGGACAGCGCCTTGCCAGGGACAAGCCGATCGTCGGAAGCGCTCAACGGTAGGAAGATAAGGATTGTGACCGCCGTGAAGCTGGTGAGAGCCGGCCAATCCATTGATCGATCAGGCAAGATCTTAGTACTAATGAAGGTGGCTAACTGGGAGTAAGTAGATAGTTGTACCAGTCCTTGGTCTACAAGCAAGCGATGCATCAACGAATGTTTGATCGCGGAAGCAGATGATTGTATAATGCAGTGTTCTTGGAATTCAGGTAGATTGAGTTCCAACTTTCCAAGTGGTCAAGATTTGACATATCAGCTGCCCACCTCTGAGTTGGGATGCGACCTTGACTGCTGACTGGTCAGAAACTCAGAATAGTGACTGAAACATTAAGCTATGAACGAACGGATAGCTATTGTGTATCAACACTTCAACAGTCACCTTCACTCCTGACTGTTCATTACAATTGTAGCAGTGACAGTATACATATACAAAGTGATCTTTGCGATATTTTATACAGGTAACGTGTCAGCCTATACTGCGTCATGCCCCTAATTGTATAGTAATCTCTTTTGAAAAATCCACAAGTGATCTGCGTCGGAAGTTTGGGCCGGTCGCGCCCTAGCCGCATGATGCCACTTGTTCTGGCCGTTTGATCTAGCGAAAAAAAAAATGATTCGTCCCAGATCTTCTTCCTCCTCGCGCAGCTCGCTGCATCTTCGCCGTCTCGCGCAACTCCCCGCATCTTCGCCATCTCGCGCAGCTCCCTTCCGGTGGCCTTCCTCGTCACCGGTCCCCACCCTTACCGGCCGTCCTCGTCGTTGGTCCCCACCCTCGCCGGTCGTCCTTGTCGCTGCCTCGACCCATGCAACAGTTGCACCTGCGGTTGCAGCTCTCAGCGGCTCCAGTTGTAGCTCCGCGCCATCCCTCGCTGTTCATGCTCGCTAAACGGAATTGCGTCAACGACTCCCACCAGCGAATCACGCCATTGAATGGATGTAGCAAAAAACTTCGCCGGTCGTAGCAGAACCCGACTCCGTTTGCAGCAAATCGCCATCGCCGCCGTCGCAAGTTCGCAGCTCCACCTTGATGGATGTAGCAAAAAAAAAATCGCCGGTAGTAGCAACAACCAATTACGGTTGCAGCAAAATCGCCATCACCACCGTCGCGAGGTCGCAGCTTCTGCTTGATGGATGTAGCAAAACATTTCACCGGTAGTAGCAAAAAACAACTACGATTGCAGCTAATCCGTAAATGGTTGTAGCAAAAAAATTCGCCGGTAGTAGCAAAAAACAACTACGGTTGCAGCAGATCGGCGTCGCCGCTGACCCGGGTCGCAGCTAATCCGTGAATGGTTGTAGCAAAAAAATTCGCCGGTGGTAGCTCCGCCATAGCCAGTTGTAGCACCCCATAGTATTGGTTCCAGCAAAAAGTTGCCGGTGGTAGCTCTGCCATAGCCTTCGTCATACCTTCTCCACCATAGCCGTATTTTTCTGCCTAATGCTTGCTTCATCGAATCAGCCCAGAAGCTACAGCTTCACATCAGTAATATGCTAGTCTTGCACTAAATGACATCCTCTAATTTTGTCCAACCCCATCATTCTAGCATCCTTATGTATTTTTTTCGCGGCCGGGGGGGTTCATACCTGCTTGGCTCGATGTCTCCCATCGATGTGCTTTCGGCTGGGGACGATTCAAATCTGGGTAAGGCAAAGCCTTGCCGGTCATCACAAGGCAGAGCAGCCCAGAAGTCATGGTTGCTGATGGTTCCGGCAAACAGACAGCAAACATTTCTCCTCTTGTTGATTGATCACTGAAACTGATTGATAACTGCAGGCACTACCATTTCTGAATGTGCGTTCTGCAGATTCCTTCTTTTCTCTACAAGCGCTCCACTACTTCAAACTGGCATGACAAGTGACCCTGCTAAACGCCTGGGCTCCTGGAGAGGCCATGACTGCTGCCAGTGGAGCGGTGCTACGTGTGACAACTAGACATGCCACGTAGTCAAGCTCAATCTCCGCAATGCCTTCATCAAAGACGATGAGAATTTTATTTGTTTTTTTAGGGATATGAGAATTTTATTTGGTGCGTTTCTCTTGGGGAATCCGCACTATTTGATTATTGAATAAAGGGGTACATCCACTCAAAAAAAAATAAAAGGCCCGTCTTCAGTAAAAAAAAAAGTTGCTACCGTGAAAACATTCAGTCTGATTTTCGATCCTCTCTTGAGTCTTGAGAAGGACACTGTAGCAAACGATTTTTTGGTTTTCAGCCAGGTTTTTTAAATAATTAAAAAAATTATAAATTTTAAGATGCGAATAATTTTCTACAGTTTTGAATTTTTTATGAAAAACCTGAACATTTTTTGAAATTCTGAACATTTTTAAAATTTTGAACATTCTTAGCAAATAATCAAACAAAATTTAAAATTTTCAAACATTTTTAAAAAAAGAAAACAAGGAAAAACGTAAAAGGCCAGACAGGAACCTTCCGGAAGATTCCCAAAACCAGGATTGCTGCTATAGCAGGCAGCTAGCTAATGGGCCAGCCCAACTCACCTTGGCTGTTGGCTCGATGCCTCCTTCCGTGAATCGCGAGCAATTTGATATACTGGGCGTCAAATAGGGTTCGCCCTTCCCTCCCTCCACACAATCAAGAGAAACACGATTACACATGTTGGAAACTTGAGCAGATTTTGAGAACTCACTTAGCATTAAAGCTTTAGTTTATACTGTACTTTATAGCACCGATCTGAGGGAAAACAGGACATTTGTCCAGCTTCAAACGTACGTGAGATGACCCTTCCTCTGCGACTGTAAAATGCAAGAAAAAATGAGTGTGATAGAGGGAAAATAATGGCATGCCTTCATGTAAGAAAAGGCTAGTAAATGCACTTATATCCACACCTGATGTTGATTGGACATGAATGGTTCAACTGAAAATGAAGATAGAAGATTCAACAAGGCAGCGCAGCCCAAGTCCTGATTGCTGATGGTTCCAACAATACACAACACACATTTCGTCCTCTTGTTCATTGATCACTGAAACTGATTGATACCTACAGGCACTACTATTTCTGAATGTCCGTTGTGCAGATTCCTTCTTTCCTTTTCGCGACATAATCGTCCCCTTCGTGTTAGTACTCTTACTTACTGTGAGGACGCATTCACTGCGATCCGACTGAAGGAGAGGAATTTTCAACCTCTCGCGTCAAGCAATTCACCGTATACATTCCCTGGGCTTCCTTTCTAGCCTTGCACAGAAATAACACAATGGCCACAGCAACACGATCTGCCTCGGGTGCAGCCAGCTGTATTTTCATCATCCTAGCAGCAACCACCATGTCCATGGCCACCTCCTCTTCCTATGCCGGAGAAACATCCAGCAGGAGCTGCATCGCGGCTGAGAGGGCGGCGCTGCTCTCCTTCAAAACCGGCATGACAAGTGACCCTGAAAAACGACTGGACTCCTGGAGAGGCCATGACTGCTGCCAGTGGAGCGGTGTCACTTGCGACAACCGGACAGGCCACGTCGTCAAGCTCAGCCTCCGCAATGCCTTCATCGAAGATGATGAGAATTTTGTTTGGTGCATGCCTCGTGCTCATGGGGAATCCGGCGGATTGCAAGGGAAGATAAGTTCGTCTTTGCTTGCTTTACAGTACTTGAACCATCTTGATCTAAGTGGAAACAGCCTTGGTGGAGTAGGTGTGCCCATACCAAAATTCTTAGGCTCCATCAAGAGCTTGACATATCTGAACCTTGCTTGCATGAATTTCGATGGGGGAGTGCCACCTCAACTTGGTAACCTCTCTAGGTTGCTCCACCTTAACCTTGAGGCCACTATTTTCTCTGATACTCTTTTGCATTCTGATGACATATCATGGTTATGTCGCCTTGGTTTACTAAGATCCCTTGACATGAGTGGAGTGAACCTCAGCACTATTCCTGATTGGGTTGGGGTGGTCACCCTTATTCCTTCTCTGGAAGTCCTTCAACTCAGTCAATGTGGACTTAGTTTACAACATGAACCCATAGTGCATTCAAATCTTAGTTCACTTCAGGTGCTTCATCTATCTAGCAACGGAATTGACACGTTGAATCCAACCTACTGGTTCTGGGATGTTCTCATCATCAAGGAACTTGACCTTTCAAGGAACAAAATAGTTGGCCAACTTCCAGATGCAATCGGAAACATGACATCTCTTCAGACACTGAGGCTAGGTGGCAATTACCTCTCAGGTGTAAAATCTGAACTGTTCAAAAACTTGTGCAACCTCAGCTGGCTGGAGCTATGGTCAAATGAGATCGACCAGGATATGTCAGATTTTATGGAGGGGTTTCCGGCGTGTACAAAGAGTAAATTGAGGTCCTTAGATCTGTCTGCTACCAACCTTACTGGCAGGATTCCAAGCAGTATTAAGCAGTGGAAAAATTTAAGTGATCTTCAACTTTCTGATAATAGGCTTGTGGGGTCAATACCTTTGGGACTTGGCAAGATGACTAATCTACGGTCATTGATTCTAAACAACAACCAGTTGAATGGTTCTGTATCAGAGGAACATTTTGCAAGTCTAGTGTACTTGATGGAACTGAGTTTATCTCACAACCCTGTACACATCACTATCAGCTCAAACTGGATCCCCGCATTTAATCTGGAAGTGGCTCATTTTGCAAGTACCAAAATGGGACCTCATTTTCCATTGTGGCTTAAAGGACAGAAGGATATTTGGGACCTTGACATTTCGGATACAGGCATAGTTGATCCTGTCCCTGTTTGGTTTTGGACTGTATTCTCCAATGTCAGCTATGTAAATATCTCTTGTAATCAAATAAGTGGTCGGTTGCCAGCAACACTGGAATTTATGACTTCTGCACAAATGCTTGACCTCAAATCAAATGACTTCACAGGTTTGCTGCCACTGCTACCAGAATCGTTATTGTTCTTAGATATCTCCAGGAATTCTTTATCAGGATCACTTCCCCAGGACTTTGGAGCTCCAATGCTTAGAGAGCTTGTATTGTTCGCAAACCATATCAATGGAACAATTCCAATATATATATGTCAACTGCAGTATATGGAAGTGTTGGATCTTTCAGAAAACCTTCTAGTAGGACAACTTCCCCAATGTTCAAAAGGCAGAGATGATAAGGAAGAACTGAACACGACAGTAGATCCCGGAAACAGGCTATTGTCGGCTCTGATCTTGCACAACAACAACCTGTCTGGCAAATTCCCTGAATTCTTGCAATACAGTCCACTTTTGACACTACTTGATCTTTCCCACAACAAGTTCGAAGGAGAGCTACCAACGTGGACATCAGGGAAACTGCCATATTTGTCTTTTCTGTTGTTACGGCATAATATGTTCTCTGGTTCTATTCCAATTGAGCTAACAGAGCAAGTACATCTCCAGTTCTTGGACCTTGCAAATAATAGAATATCAGGAGCTATACCTCGTGGTTTGGCTAACTTAAAAGCAATGGCTCAATATAGCAAAATAAGATCTGATAACCCCTTGGAGAGCAAGTTCGGAAGTATAGGAGTAGACAACCACATTGAAGCAATAAAATATGATGACAGCCAACAAATAGTAATGAAAGGTCAACAACTTTATTACACCAGTGCAATTGTATATATGGTTGGCCTTGATTTCTCCTGCAATAATCTACTTGGAGAGATTCCAGAAGAAATAGCATCCCTTTTTGCGCTGAAGCTTCTGAATGTTTCCCATAATCAGTTGACTGGAAAGATTCCAGACAAGATTGGCCTGCTGCAAGGATTGGAATCTCTTGATCTCTCATTCAACGAGCTTTACGGTGAAGTTCCGTGGAGTCTGACAGAGATAACAACACTAAGCCACTTAAATCTGTCCTATAATAATCTTTCTGGAAGAATACCCTCGGGAAGTCAGCTACAGACACTTTCTGATTCAGAATCCATGTATATCGGCAACAACTATCTATGTGGGCCTCCTCTATCCATGAGCTGCTCACGACCCGGGGTGACAGAAGATCACCATGAAGTTAACAATACAAATAACAGAGATTTGTATCTCGGGCTGGCTGCACGAAAAAGGCTTTTACCTTCGCGTTTGATACGCAGCGCGTATCTCCACCACTCATGCCTTGCCCATGATCGAACATGCACGTGAGAAAACTGGCAAAGGCCCCGCTAGGAGCCAGGGTATTCATGCCAGGTAGTAGGTGCACTGTTGCTAGATTCTTTGCATGTGAACGTTTTATCTCTCCAGCAGAAGTACTAATCCCGGTGATTATCTCTCCAGCCGCCGTTGCTAGAAGTAATTCAAACCCATAAAATTAAAATATGCAGTTGTTTAGATTGTCTGAAAGAACGTTTTTTAAATAGTTTCAAAGAGAATCAAACTTTGTTAGCTTGGTGTATGAACCTTGCCATAAAAAACAGAAGAACTTCTGAAAAACTCTGGCATAGCTCATAAAATAGTTAGAGAACTTTATGGACTCTTCTTTTGAACTTTATCTTCAAAACTCAAAGAACTTTTATTTTTTATTGTTATTTTCAAAAGTTCTTCTGATTTTATTCCAAAGTTCAAACACATCCTTCATAGAGTTCTGTTGATATTTATACTTGTGATTAGTGGCAAGTTATGCATACCAGATAAAATTGTTATGGATACGATAAAATTAGCAAGTAGACTATTAATTTGTTCACCTAGTTGTAATTAGCAACGTGAGTTACGCACATCAAATAAAATTAATGAGCTGGCCTGCCACCTAAACACATGCATGTGAGGGAAATGGGTATATGACATGCGTGCAGGCCCTAGTGAGAAAAGGAATCTAGCATGTGGCCTCACTCTGAGTGGACCCACGATGTCCTGGGCCTGCATGCAGCGCTGATCCAAGTGCAGGGAAGAACGGCATGGATTCCCGCTGCGAATGGAACGCGAATGAGAAAAACCGCATCCCTGGCTGCAGGGTTTGTCACGGGACTTTGGATGGTCTTTGTCATCTTCTTATTCGTGAAGACCTAGAGGGTTGCCTACTTCTAACTTCTAAGTGTTAGATAATCTCTATAGGGCAAGATTCAAATGTCTGTGGCCAAAATATCCACAAACTGCTGGTGCTTCACTGAAGACTGGGGACTAAAGAGAGACTAGCTTGGGCTTTCTGATTCTCCCCCTATCTTCTGCTCCTGATCCATGCTTGTATTTCGTGAGTTTTCCCGCATTTCGCTTGTACTCCAAGATCAAGTGTTCTCATCGACCTTGTATTTGATGGACTGTTGCTGCTTGCTGCTTGTCGTCATAAAGCAAGACAAAATATGATGAACCGAGACAAGATCCAGAGTATGGATATCAAACGACTTGCCTTTGTAACAGAACGAACTTGCGTTCATGTAAGAGAGCAAGTCTGCCAAATTGTGAGCGATCCATTGGTATGGTATAAGCATAGCGATGCATTGTTGGTTGATTTGATCAGTTATCCTTCCGCACACGACCGAATCGCAGAACCCTCGGTGCCATAGATAGATAGTTCTGCTTCTGCACGAAGCCTGGGCACTTTGTCGAACAGCTGTGGGGCATATATACCAGTACCACCAGCCGACCGCTGCTGGTCAGAGCTGACAACCTCCCCCAATCTCTGTCTGTGTCGCTGGAGGCCGCGCCAGGACTAGTGCAGCGTCCGGAGGAAGCACGGGAGGGGAAGTGGAGGTAGGGGGGCGACGGTGCGGAGTGCGGAGCCGCCGGAGGAGGGGATGTCGGCGAGGAGCGAGGCCTCCCTGCGTTTCCTGAGCCGGCCATTGCGATGTGATAACGAAGCGACCCATGAAGGGTTTACATGGGCCCGCTAGAAGGAAGCCTCGCTGAAGAGGCGCACGGAAACAATAGCCACGTTTTTTTTTCTTTTTTCACGTTTTTTGTTTTCTTTACTTTTTTACTTTTGTTATATATACTTCTAAATATTCTAAATAAATATATTACAAAAATGACTCTACAGGTAACATATTCAAAATATTGACCAAGCATTTGAAAAATGTTAAATGTGTATAGAGAAAATATTTATCATCTATATGAAAAATGTATACAAAAAAATAAAATGAGTATGAAAAATTGTGGGGGAATATAGGATATTTACTCCATAATCACATGATTACAATCGAAAGCAACAAGTTCCGCCCCACAGGTAGGGCGATGGTTAAGCCAGCACGTAGTGCTATCCCCGCTACGCCCAAAGTTCGCTAAACAATCTGCAACCCTAATTTATTCACGAGTAATCTTAACAAGGAGTAAACACCCTATCTTCTATCGGGAGATTGATCTCAGAAATCAAATGGCCATGCGCAGACTTGTCCAAAGATCCGTCCATAATCGCTGATAAAGCGTTGGAGCAGTCAGACTGGATTAAAACTGGCATGTGAGTCTGATGTATCGCCAAGTAAATGCCTTCCTTGGTTGCATGTAACTCAGATTCCGGAGCATCGTTACAGTAGAAGAGACATATGTATGCCGCAAAGATAACAAAGCCCTTATCATCTCCCATAATCATGCCAGAGCCCGCCGAACCGTCCTCTTGACAAGAGGAGCCGTCCACTGACATAGTGTCGTCCAGTCGGGCGGTGGGAGCGAAACAAATTGAGCATGTATTTTTTTTAAAGTTAATCAAGCATTTGAAAAAATGTTAAACAAGTGTTTCAAAAATGTTAAGCAAACACTTAAAAAATGTTAAACGTGTATACAAAAGTGTGGACCATGTATTAAAAAATGATGAAACAAATGTGATCATGTATATAAAAATGTTAATCAAACATTTGAGAAAAAATGTTGAAAAGGTATTTCAGAAATGTTAAAGTGCATAGAAAAAATGTTGACCATGTATTAAAAAATGATGGAAATATTTGATCATGTATATAAAACTGTTAATCAAGCATTTCAAAAAACGTTGAACAATTATTTGAAAAATGTTAAATGTGTTTAAGAAAAATGTTGACCATGTGTTAAAAAATGTTAATATTACACTTAAAAAAGTTAATCAAACATTTGAATTTTTTTTAATGTAAGACATGTTTTTAACTGCCGTTTGAACCACAGGCTCTCACCGGCGCTGCAAGTGCCTAGGCAGCTATGGACTCCGCGGAAAGCAAGAAGAGTTGGGGGAGGTTGTATCTCCGGAGCTTAGGTGGCATGTTCTTGGATGGTCTCCTACCCTGGTGGACTGGTGGTCGTACAAATCTGTATCTCCCTGTCATTAGGCATGTCGAGCTTTATTTTTTCTTTGAATATCGGGTCTATCGAGCTTGATGAGGACAAGCTACAAGCACTCCGTCTGGTTCGTGTACACCTCTTTCTGTCTATTCCGTTCTACTCAGGAAGTTGTTTGCTGGCCTTAAGTATTTTCTGAATACCAACTAAATATTGCTCCCTCCATTCAAAAATAAGTGTCATGGTTTTGGTATTGTTGAACTAAAAGCACTACACTTATTGTGAAACAGAGGCAGTATGGGAGTGACACTGAAACATACACCCATCTACTAAATGCAAAATAGATGAACCCTAATGTTGATTAGTGCAGAAAGTTTCTTTTTACATACACATAAGCCTTCCAGTAGCACTGAAATTGGAACATCAGTCGTTGTTCATTATATGTAAATGGAACGGAGTTCAGAAGAAGTTATTCATTGTCATCTTCTCATATTTTCTACAAAGCAGAAAGCGCTAAAAAAGCAATCTCGTCAGACAGAAAAACTGCACATGTTTTCTGCTGTTATGTTTTTATGTTTATGCAGAATTGGACACATAAATATCCGTCACTCTAGGCAAAGTTTGGTTGCAATGGCAGCATTTGGTACTAATGTTTGCTCTATCAAAGCATATCTTCTCTATGACATTTATTTAATTTTGATCAATCCGAGCTTATACATTAACTAGATTTTTATATATGTAACTATAGAATTTAATCTTTCCGATGCCCATTGAACTGGAATTGAGGACAACCAATCCGAGGTTTTATCTAGAAATACAGTAGGCAACTTGCCTTAGGTTTCATTTACAGCCCACCACGCAAACTCCAGTTACCTACATGCTTCACCAACCTGTTGACAATTTTTTCATAATCCCTCCACTCTGTGGGCATTCTTGCTATGAGAAATATTATGTTGCCAATGCATTTGTTCTAGGATTGATTCCTCTTAAGCTATGGCATCGACTCTTACATTCCAATATTACACTGACGGTCCGATGGATGAATCTTGCATGCCATAAATCTAATTATTTAGACGATCCTTGAAGTTGCTTGCTAATAATTTGATTGCAAAATATTCATGAATTTTGCTTCAGTTCTACACCTTTAGTGTTTCTCTAAGGATTGTATTATGTGATGAATCTTCAATAAAGAGAAAGATTGGTATTCATCAATCCTTCTATCTATCAGCAATAATAATATATTGAGCTCCATATAAGACATAATAGTGAGAACAATCTTTTAGTATGTTTTATGGACCTTGATAATGTGAGTACAGGATACAAGTCGGTGCATGAAGGTGCTCACGAAAACGGCGTGCTATATTGTAATGATTAAGCACATCACCTTGAGATTGATCACATTCTTCATGAATATTGGGGCAACATGACCACCATTGGCGATCGTGGTGAAGAGAAGTGGCAACAATGATGATTATTGGGATGTGTTTTTGTCCCGCTGCGGCGCACGGCATTTTTACTAATACAAACAAAAAAAAAACGAACTGTCTGCAGCCAAGCAGGTAAAGGGGACTTCCTATAGTGCCAGGTTATCTGGAAATACAGTAGGCAACTTGCCTTAGGTTACAAATTTCAGAAATAATACTGTGAGAAATAAATTGATTATTGTCAAATTCGCCATTCTATTTTTTCATTTTTGTGAGAAAAATCCAATCTATTCATCTTCAATGAGTGTGTACACGGATGGTGCAGTGTATCCTATTTTTCTCCGGCCATACAAGTACACACACAGAATGAATGTAAGAACGGCATACAAGACCAACACAAAACCTAAAGTTCTTCAAAAAAAACACCACAACCTAATCACTTGTGTCCAGGTCACCTTCGTAGATTTTTTCCCACCTACTTTTGTGCATGTAACTTAGTATTGTTTGTTCTATAAGAAAAAACTTATTTTTCTTAAATGAGACTGTTATATTGAGGCCAGAAACGAAATACAAAACACATTCAAAAGAAAATTATGACCTCTAAATTACACATGTTACGTCACTATTTGATCCTTTTAAGAAAATGGCATCACTATTTTGTGAGCCACACAGTTAACAATATTGTTCGATACAAAAGAGTAAATAGCTATAATTTCATCGCCCCTCTATCTGAGAAAGACTAAAACTGTTGACGGAAGTCTCGATATTATTTCTGATTTGATCGATTTCAGCACCTCGTCGTGCAAAGTAGGCTGGGCGGCTAGGCGCTGCAAGTGTGGTGCTTCCATTCTCTAGGACGAACACAACAGATGACATGAGCGGTCTATCATCTGGGTTCTCCTGGATACACAAGAGTCCTATCTTGACACAAAGCAGAACTTCTTCTGTCGAAATCTCTATGATAGATGAGTCTGGTAGTTCCTCAGTCTTCTCTTCCTTCCACATATTCCATGCCTAAAAAGCCAAGAACATCATACCAGTATTAAATTTTAACTCTGAATAAAAATTTGCTTCAAAGTTTTGATTCGATTCTAGAAATGAAACTCTAGAGAAGTCGTGTGTGTACTCACATAGACTGTGAGGCTAGGGAAACCCATGGTTTCACTATTAGAATTCATCCTTATACCAGTTACAACCTCTAGTAGCAACACTCCAAAGCTATAGACGTCAGACTTGGTAGAGAAGATGCCTTCCATTGCATACTCAGGAGCCATGTAACCACTGCTTGACCATTGCATTTCAAATTATTTATTGTGAATTTAAATTATTAAAACATTAATATGTTTTCCCGTGGATACTCACTATGTTCCAACTACGCGTTGCGTATTTGCATTTTGCTGGTGATCACCAAAGATCCTCGCCATACCAAAATCTGCTATCTTGGGTTTCATATCTGCATCCAGCAAAATATTTCCAGGTTTGAGGTCCCTATGTATTATGGTGAACCTTGAGTCTTCGTGAAGATATAGAAGCCCCCTTGCAACCCCTTTGATTATACTAAATCGTGTCACCCAATTCAACGAGAGCTTTCTTGAGTCGTCTAAAAAGAAAGAAATGTAAGCAAAAAATATTTTTAGTTGCCTTAGGAAATCATGGTTTGTTCTTAGTATATGTACCAAAAAGGATAGCATCTAAGCTCTTGTTAGGGAGATACTCATATATCAAGAGCTTTTCATCTCCGTCACCACAACATCCAAGAAGTCGAACCAAGTTTCTATGTTGCAATTTTGCAATTAGAATTACTTCATTCCTGAATTCTTTTGTTCCCTGTTGAGAATCTCTACTTAGCCTTTTGATTGCAACTTCTTTTCCACCTAACAGTCCCTAGAGAAATATAGATGTGAGATTTACATATTAGCAAAGCAATTCTCCTAATTTAGTAGGCATAACAGGAACTACATATTGAACAAACTACCTTGTAAACTTTTCCAAAGCCTCCTTGTCCAATCATGTATGCTTCAGAGAAATTGTGGGTTGCGAGGGAAATTTCTTCTAATCTTATAAATGTAAATTCCTGATCACGAGGAGGGTTTTCTTCTCCAAGCTCAGCGGAGGTATGCATACCATCTAATCTTATATTCTTGTGCTTTCTCCATTTTCTGCTCTTGCCTGCTCGCACAATGGTATATTCATTTCCCCTCTAATAAGCATACAATAGGAATATAAAATATAAATATTTAATTTGCTCCCTTGATTTGTTGCTGTTGAATGTTATTCAATTTATTAACCCACAAATCAAGGGGAAATAATCCACGAGGCAAGTTACCACCATGTCAAGATCATAGACCGGACAATCAGAACACAGTCATCAATTGAATAATCCATGAGGCTACCACTTGACATAGAAAACACGGTCCACATTTTTTCAAAGCACACTCTGCATCCCCTCTAATTGAACACATGCACAACCCTCAAGTCCATAACACCATGACCTCACCTCGCTTTGTTATTCAAAACCCCATCGACACAAAGAAAATCGAAGGCAATGATTGCTTGACTATGCAACCGCTATGATGAACATGTAGAGACTCTAGCATGTGGACTCCATCTTAGTTGCTAGTAGGCTGCCCGTTACAATTACATCAATCCCACAATGGCTAAACCGCACACAGAAATTACCTAAAACAATTATTTGCTCTAGTTTTACATGTTGGGCTTAGAGGATGTAGAATTTTGTATAGTCAAACTAGCATTCTCATAAGGTCGTCAAATATAACTTTTCTACAATGAGATTCAACTAAACGTACCTTTGCATTTTAACCATGCAAGAGAGATGCATATAAGTACTAGAGCACCACCGCCTAAAATTGGTAGCACAATCTTGCCTGCATTAATCTTTCTCCTTTTACCTACGCATTAAATATGGCATAAAAAGGAACATGAATTATAGAACTAGAAGTATGTTAGCAAAGACAAAAACAACAATAGAACGGACGAAACTACTATATCGTAGAAAGAAGGGGCAAAGGTGGAAATTTGTTACCACCTCCTCCTGCATCCAAGCCTGCAAGTCGGAGATAGAGTGTCTCGCCGCCAAGCTCTACCCCTACCTTCCCGGTGTCAATCAATTCCCCAGACCACACCAAGCACATCATCACATCTCCATCACTGCTCACATTACGATACACGTAACCCTTACAAGAGCAGTTGCGGTTGCACTCCGCGGCGCACTCCTCAAACGTACTTCTGCCCCGTTCAACGAGCTCAATTTTGTCAGGCGACTTCATCCCTGGCAAGGCCAAGAAGCTATCACCGCAACTATGCAGCTGCTCCTTCCTCTGACACCCCGCCAAGAACCTGCCACTAGTCCACTCCTCCATGTTTCTTGGCTCGAAGCCATCTAGGCACTTACAGGATGGGATTGGCGCCGATGTCTCATCGCAATAGCCATATGGACCGCAGTAACCATAGCGGTTACATTCAGCAGATGGCCACTTCCAAAGGACATCCCACATTGATGACCTGCTGCTCCAGCTCTGGAGCTGGTACTCGCCAGAGTAGGTAATCACTGACCTTGTGAGTGGAGCGCCGTCCGAGAGGCTATATGTGGCATAAATCTCATCGCCATTTTCCACAAAGGCTAGGTACATGATAAGATCACTGATGTTAGTCCCTGCTTCATGTCGTTGGATTGCGCTCTTCACTTGGTACCCTGTCCATGGGGTGTCGCGGAACACCAAGCTCTGTCCATCCCACATGAATGTTTGGAGAGGTGTGTCTGGGTCGCTGCCGTAGGAGAAGCGCCCTGGCGAGGGATCGCTAGGGCCCTTCCAGGATACTAGACGCTCGGCAGTGTGGCGCGTCCTATATTTGATCCGGAGCTTCATCCCAGGAAGGAGTGTGTCGGTGCGGTGGTCGAAGCTTTGCCACAACATGGTGCCATTTGACGACCGGATGACGAGGTTTCCAGTGTTCAGAAGCACCGCCGTCTGGGTAGACGTGCCCAGGGCAGTGGTCACGTTGGTTGTTGTCCAAAGGACACGGCCGCTGCTATTACCGTAGGAGAGAACGAGATTGGAGGTGTTGGTGAGGGATAGCATCGGCGCAGAGGAGGTGTTGTTGGTGATTGGGGTTTCACGGTTGGCAACCCACACAACTGTGAGCTCGGGGATATCATTGTACCATATGCCAAGGTACAACTTGGTTGGTGTGGAGTTGGAGGGGTTGAAGAAGCCCAAGGCGAATACGCCGCCGTCGGAGACGATGGTGTTGCCAGGAGACAGCGGCTTGCCAGGGACAAGCCGGTCGACGGAAGCATTAAAAGGCAGGAATAGAATGATTAGGGACGCGGTGCAGCAGGCGAGAGCCAGCGAATCCATCAATTGCTCGAGCCAAATCTTAGTACTAAGTTTGTACCAGCTTTCTTTACGGGAGTTCTAAGGAGCTATAGGCTCTACTTTGATGGTGCTGAACGGGATGAAGTACTTGCATCTAACCTGGTCTACAAGGAGAAACAACGTCCACGAGTACGTATACATGAGTGTTCAATCACGGAACCAGATGATTGAATAATGTAAAATCTCGGACTTCTAGAAGTGTTTAGCCCCGGGGTCACGGGTGTTGGAGTTAACATTTGAGCTGTCCATGTCGGAGTTGGGATGCCACTATCATTGCTGACTAGATAGCTAAAAGAAAATTCTTTGAAAAGTACAAGTTCAATAGACATAAACATATAGGCACACACAACACGCGCATATTAATAACTGGAGAATATATAGCTATTTATTCTTAAGATTACCAAAGTCACCTCCCAAGAAAAAAAATCCACATTTGTCTCAAAAAAAAAATCCACATTTGCAAGACACAAATCGAGCGTCAAACCTATCTACTCCCTCTATTCCTAAATATAAGTCTTTTTAGAGATTCCAATATGGACTACATACGAAGCAAAATTCTTGAATCTACACTATAAACTATGTCTATATACATCCGTGTCTAGTTCATATTGAAATATGCACTATAAAAATATTATCATACGCTAATATCGTATGCTTAATACTAGTAATATGATACTTCCGCCACGAGCAGCAAGTACGTAATTGTGCACGAGTGCTTGGTCCCGAAGCAAGTGATGCTTTGACGAAACGCAGCATTCAGGGATGTTCGACGGCAGAAGCGGATGGAATTCTGGTGGTTGGGAGTTGACAAATCAGCTGTCCACGTCGGAGTTGGGATGTCACCGTCACTGCTAACTGGTCAGACTAGTGACTGAAATATTAAGCACACGGATAGCTTTTGAGTATCAACACTTGAACAGCCACCTTCATTCCTGACTGTTTTTATACAAAGCGATCTTTGCGATATTTTATACAGGTAACGTGTCGAGTAGGGCCTTTTGGTGACCGAGCTCCATGGAGCCTTTTATTTTTTGAAAAAGTCGAAATTCAAACTTTTTGGTTTCAAACAAATCTGATAAAACAAAGTGCAAGTATAGCAGGATGATATGTATATAAAGGACAGACCCAGTGCCTAGAAGCTCCCACGCAAGGTGGGGGTCTGGGGAGGGATTTTAGGAACTAAAAAAAATAGTATGAAATATCTTGAAATGCAGCATGTACAAAAAAGATAAATTTTTGGACTTTGAGGATGAATAGTATCATGTGTTAAAAAGCCCCATATTTATTTATTTATTGCACAACTCTTATTTGAACGTATTTTGTTCTGAAAATTTACACACATGCACATTATGCCTTCATGTATATCTGCATTTTTTCCAGAAATTTTTGAAATGTAAAAATACAAATTCTAATGAAGTTTGAATTTTGCAAAAAGAGGCCTCTATGGAGCTCAGCCTCCAAAAGCAATTTTCGTAATGTGTCAGCCTATACTGTGTCATGCACCCAATTGTATAGCAATCTCTTCTAAAAATATCCTCGCAGATGTTATCACGCTGAGATCAGGGGTGAAACACTACAACAACAAAAATAAACGCTGTGGAATGTCTGATTTACAAACAAATTGGCGGCTAATCTTCAGGTAAATAAAAACGTGCATCTCCACAGCACGCGGATGAAATCCCCAAATCCCAAAGAAATCCTTGTCCCTCCTCCGTGTTCAAATCAGTCAACGTGCTTGTCTTGCTTACACAGGATGATACACCTTGAGTCTGTCCGTCCATGGTGCCCTTTTTCTTACAAGTGCCTTTCTCTTACAAGTAAACACAAAACCATTGCTAGAAGAGCAGACAAGAACACTACCACCTGATTACTTTTATCCAATGTAAAGGTCCCTTCATCTTAGTGTTTTTCTTTCAGAGTCCTTCCTTTTTCAAGTACTCCCTCCGTCCCATAATATAAGAGCGCTTTTGACGGTATACCAATCACAGAAACACTCTTATGTTATGGGACAGAGTGAGGGAGCAGTATATTATACAGACAAAAAAAATGAATAGAGAACATACTCAAAGATAATGACTACTCCCTCCGTTCCTAAATATTTGTTTTTTTAGAGATTTCAAAGGACTACCACATATGGATGTATATAGACATATTTTAGAATGTAGATTCACTCATGTTGCTCCGTATGCAGTCACTTGTTGAAATCCCTAAAAAGACAAATATTTAGGAACGGAGGGAGTACTAGGCAAGGCAACACACGGTACATCCTTATTTTCTTTCTTAAAGAATATCATCTCTAACTTTTTGAGCCATACATTTTACAATAGTGTTCGATTCATCTAATGTATTGTTTCCTTCAAGAGCATATATTTCGATACAGCTAAAGCTAAAGATTGATTTCATCGTCCCTCTATCTCAGTAAGAGTAAAACTGTTCACGGATGCCTGGATATCAGTTCTAATTTGATTCATTGCAGCACTCCGTCTCGCGAAGTAGGCGGGGAGATTGGGGGATGTAAGTGGCGTGTTCTCATTCTCTAGGACAAACACAACAGATGACATGAGCGGCCTATCATCGGGGTTCTCCTGGACACACAAGAGTGCTACATGGATGCAAAGCAGAATTTCATCTGGTGAAGTATCTAGGATAGATGAGTCCGGCAGCTCATTGGTCCTATCTTCCTTCCACATATTCCATGACTGAAACAACCAAAAACATCATATCAGTATTAATTTTCAGTATCCAACAAAAAATGCTTGTATTTGATCCACTTTTGGTAACGGAATTTGACTGAATTCATGTGTACTTACATATACTGTGAGGCTAGGGAACCCCATGGTTTCACTAATGGAGTTTCTCCTTATACCAGTTACAACCTCCAGTAGTAACATGCCGAAACTGTAGACGTCAGACTTGGTAGAGAAGACACCTTCCATTGCATACTCAGGAGCCATGTAGCCACTGTTTGATCATTTTAATTACAAGAGGTGTCTAATGGGAGATAAATTTACTGAAAAAACAATATGGGTTTTTAAATGGATACTCACTATGTTCCAACAACGTGTTGGGTATTCGCATTTTCCAAGTTATCACCAAAGATCCTCGCCATACCAAAATCTGCTATCTTGGGTTTAAAATCTGCATCTAACAAAACATTTGCAGCTTTGAGGCCTCTATGAATTATGGTGAGCCTTGAGTCTTCGTGAAGATACCGAAGTCCCTTTGCAATCCCTTTGATTATACGAAACTGTGTCGCCCAATCCAACAGCAATTTTCTCGACTCACCTAAAAACATAAACAAATGTAAGAAACTAATTCAAGTTGTCATAGAAATCATGGTTTGTTATTAGAATACACACCAAAAATGGTAGCATCTAAGCTCTTATTTGGCAGATACTCGTATATCATGAGCTTTTCATCTCCCTCGCTGCAGCATCCAAGAAGTCGAACCAAGTTTCTATGTTGCAATTTGGCAATTAGAACTACTTCATTCCTAAATTCTTTTGTTCCTTGTTGAGAATCTCTACTTAGCCTCTTGATTGCAACTTCTTGACCACCTAACATTCCCTACAGAAATATAATGAAAATTTAGATTTGAGTATTTGACTCTGCAATATGAAAAAATTAGCCCTCTTTGTTAGAATTAATACTAGGAAATAACATATTTAATGAATTACCTTGTATACTTTACCAAAGCCTCCCCGTCCAATCAGGCACGTTTCAGAGAAATTGTGGGTTGTAAGGACAATTTCTTCTAATCTTACAAATGGAAATTCTTGGTGATGGGGAAGGTTTTCTTTTTCAAATTCATCGGAGATACTTATATCCTCCAATCTTATCTTCTTTCGCTTCGTCCCTTTCTTGTTCTTGCCTGCTCCCATAATGTTAAACGTCACTTGCTGTGACGCCCCCGATTTAATCGTACACTAATCATGCACGCAAATGTGTACGATCAAGATCAGGGACTCACGGGAAGATATCACAACACAACTCTACAAATAAAATAAGTCATACAAGCATCATAACACAAGCCAGGGGCCTCGAGGGCTCGAATACAAGTGCTCGATCATAGACGAGTCAGCGGAAGCAACAATATCTGAGTACAGACATAAGTTAAACAAGTTTGCCTTAAGAAGGCTAGCACAAACTGGGATACAGATCGAAAGAGGCGCAGGCCTCCTGCCTGGGATCCTCCTAAACTACTCCAGGTCGTCGTCAGCGGGCTGCACGTAGTAGTAGGCACCTCCGGTGTAGTAGGGGTCGTCGTCGACGGTGGCGTCTGGCTTCTGGACTCCAGCATCTGGTTGCGGCAACCAGAAGGAAAGGAAAGGGGAAAAAGGGGGAAGAAAGCAACCGTGAGTACTCATCCAAAGTACTCGCAAGCAAGGAACTACACTACATATGCATGGGTATATGTGTAAGGAGGCCAAATCAGTGGACTGAACTGCAGAATGCCAGAATAAGAGGGGGATAACTAATCCTGTCGAAGACTACGCTTCTGGTCACCTTCGTCTTGCATCAAGTAAAAGAGAGTAGATTGAAGTCCTCCAAGTAGCATCTCCAAGTAACATCGCATAGCATAATCCTACCCGGCGATCCTCTCCTCGTCGCCCTGCGGAAAAGCGATCACCGGGTTGTCTGTGGAACTTGGAAGGGTGTGTTTTATTAAGTATCCGGTTCTAGTTGTCATAAGGTCAAGGTATAACTCCAAGTCGTCCTGTTACCGAAGATCACGGCTATTCGAATAGATTAACTTCCCTGCAGGGGTGCACCACATAGCCCAACACGCTCGATCCCATTTGGCCGGACACACTTTCCTGGGTCATGCCCGGCCTCGGAAGATCAACACGTCGCAGCCCCACCTAGGCAAAACAGAGAGGCCAGCACGCCGGTCTAAACCTAAGCGCACAGGGGTCTGGGCCCATCGCCCATAGCACACCTGCACGTTGCGAGGGCGGCCGGAAGCAGAACTAGCCCCCTTAATACAAGAGCAGGCTTACGTTCCAATCCGGCGCGCGCCGCTCCGTCGCTGACGTCTGAAGTGCTTCGGCTGATACCACGACGTCGGGATACCCATAACTACTCCCACGTAGATGGTTAGTGCGTATAGGCTCGTAGCCAGACTCAGATCAAATACCAAGATCTCGTTAAGCGTGTTAAGTATCCGCGAACGCCGAACAGGGCCAGGCCCACCTGTCTCCTAGGTGGTCTCAACCTGCCCTGTCGCTCCGCCACAAAGTAACAGTCGAGGGCCGTCGGGAACTCAGGCCCACCTCTACCTGGATGGAGCCACCTGTCCTTTCAGCCCCCTCGTCAGAATCACTTGCGGGTACTCAATGAGCTGACCCGACTTTAGTCACCATCTGTATAGTATGTATGTAAGTATAGTATATACCCGTGATCACCTCCCAAGTGATCACGGCCCGATAGTATAGCAAGGCAGACTGACAAGAATGTAGGGCCAATGATGATAAACTAGCATCCTATACTAAGCATTTAGGATTGCAGGTAAGGTATCAACAGGTGTAGCAACAATGTCAGGCTATGCATCAGAATAGGATCAACAGAAAGCAGTAACATGCTACACTACTCTAATGCAAGCAGTATAGAGAAGAATAGGCGATATCTGGTGATCAAGGGGGGGCTTGCCTGGTTGCTCTGGCAAGAGAGAGGGGTCGTCAACTCCGTAGTCGAACTCGGTGGCATCAGCGTCGGTCTCGTAGTCTACCGGAGAGAAGAGGGGGAAGAAATAATGAATACAGAGCAAACAAAGCATCACAAAATATAACAAGTCAATACGCGGTGTTCGGTGTGCCCAAACGCGGTAGTAGGTGATACCGGTGAAGGGGGAAAACATCCGGGAAAGTATTCCCGGCGTTTAGGGTTTTCGGGCAGAGGAGCCGGAGGGGAAAAGTTGCAGGTTCAATAGGTTAGGGGTGTGTGGCTGACAAACGGACTGCGTATCCGGATTCGTCTCGTCGTTCTGAGCAACTTTCATGTTGAAAATATTTTAATCCGGATTATGGATTAAAAGATATGATTTTTAAAAGATTTTATTAATTTCTGGAATTTAATTAATTATTTAATTAATTCGAAAATGCATTTATGACATCAGCATGATGTCATACTGACATCAGCAGTCAACAGGGTTGACTGAGTCAAACCTGACAGGTGGGTCCCGCATGTCATTCTCTAATATCTAATTAACCTAATCAGAGTTAATTAACATTAGTTAATTAGGTTAATTAGTGATTAGTGCTAATTAATCAGAATTAATTAATTAATTAATTAATTAATTAATTAATTAATTAATTAGTTAATTAGTTTTATTTAATTTTTCATTTTCTTTTTATTTTTAAACCGTTCTGTGGGGGTGGGGCCCCCATGTCATCGGCCCAGAGGGCCAAACGGGCATGCGGGCGTGGGGGGGTTTGCGGGGCGGTGCCCGTTTCGGGCGCAACCCCGAAGGACGCGGCGCGGGCGCCCGCGCCCGAAGCCAACGGGGGTCGGGGCGGCCGAGGCCACGACGGTGGCCGGAGGGGCCGCAGCCACGGCGAGGGTGGCCGGGCGGCAAGCGGCGCCGGCGAGGGGGAGGCCGGGGTGGATCCGCGG